AACTGATGCCAGGTGTAACCTAAAAGGTAAACTCACCTCAGCAGGTGGATGAAAAAGTCATTCTGGTGTCTTGCTAAATATTTCCTTCACTAATTTTCTTCTTTGGCTACTTACGTTCCTCTTTAAAAAGTGAGTCATTGACTTAGCTACCTGCCTTTTCATTATTTACAGCTTCTAAAGTGCATTTGTGGCCAAAATTTGAGGACAGAAAAGGTGAAGGACTTACTTTTCATCAGCGATCCTGGTCATTTTGCAGGAGCAGATGGGTATGTACAAGAAACGCACCAGAAGGGCCAATATCAGAAACGGAGGTTTGGAGAAGCCACTTCTGGAGTCACCCAGCACCGCATCGCAGTTGGCGCGGATCAGATCACGTGACCTAGCCGGCCCTAGTGAGTCTGCGCACACGCACACGCACATGCCCCACTGGGAGTGGGCGCACAGGCGCACGAGGACCACGCTGCTGCCACTCCAGCTCCCGCTGCCGTTGGAGACCTGAGCGGCCTGAGGAGCCTGAGGGCCAGCTGGGTCCTGGGCTCCTTGCTACCTAAGTGATGACCTCTGGGCAAGGTGCGAGGACCTGGCCGTGAGGGTCCCGCCAGCTGAGATCTGCCTCTTCAGCCAGGCCTGGGCACTGGGTGCCGGGCGAGCACTCCCAGGCAGGGTGACCAGCCCCCACGGAGACTCCCCTTAGCCTGGCCTGAGCGGGAGACACTCGATCCTTGGGACGTTGAACAAGTAAAATGAGGGGTAATAATGATGTCGCTTTGCTTATGAGATTTCTTAAGTGCTAAAAGCCATAAGGGAGGATGAAGACAGGGTTCGGTGACCCCGGTCCCCCTTCTCAGATTTCTTAAGTGCTAAAAGCCATAAGGGAGGATGGAAACAGGGTTCGGTGACCTCGGTCCCCCTTCTGCCTCCTCCTTCCTCCCATCCCCACCCCTGCAGAAGCTAGGCCTCATACCCCCCCAATGCCGGCCCTGGCTTTATCTCATCAAGTTTGAGTCTCTGGGTCACAGCCCAGGACTGGCTCTGGACGTACAGAAATGAATTCCTTGACTTCTGGGAGCTCACGCGGCCTTGGGAGCCAGTCCTGAAAACCAGAAGTTAAGAGTACACGGAGATAGGCATGCGCGTTCAGAACGCGTAGGGGGAACCGGGAAGGGAGGCATCCGAAGGGAGCAGCTCCTGCAGGGCTGTATGCGCCCTGCTAAAGAATTTGAAGACAGGCACTGTATCGCTACTAAAGATGCTAAAGATAGAAAAGTGGTTTCTAGATGTGAGAAACTTGACCGTTCCAGAATTTCTATGTAACTCAAGGTTAGCGATTGAGGATAGGGTCGGCAATAAGGGCTAAGGGCCTGTCCTGCAGCTGCTTTTTGAATTAGTGATGGGATCACCAGAAAGTACCAAAAAATAAATAAGTAATTTTATTTTTATGTTGTTGTTATTTATTTATTTATTTTACAAAAATGAGATGCTTATCTGGGTTGTAGAGTAACCGCATGTAGAATTTTGTTTTCAATTCTAACTATGTTTTATTCCAGAAATATATTATAGCATTTTTTAGTTTTCGCCTTCCATCAGTTAAGCTGAAGGTTTTAAACACACACACTTTTTCTTTTTCTTAGCATTTTAATGAATACTTCATTGAGGTGGTTTTGGTGGAGGCGATAAATATTCTACTTCCAAGACTCTCATGTTGCTTTTCAACTGTGAATGTGAAAAGAATTTTTCTATATACACAAAAGGGCTTATTATTTTGATTATTTTTCTTTCATCTGAGAAGCGAAATAATAGCAATCTAGATATGGCTTTTCCTCATTACCCTCTATATATGAATTCTATAATACTACGTTTTTTATTTAAGCATAACTGAGTGATCGATTACGTATAGGCCTTTGGTATTTCTCAAAGGTAGTGTTTGAATATATAAAGCTTATTCTTTATACTTGTTGTTAACATACTGTTTTCTCTATTTACTATCGATATCTCTTGTGTTCTTACCTAGCTTTTTCTGTCTCTATACTTTATAGAATTAAGAGACATTCAGAAAATCGATTTTAGAAACCGAAGACTCATGAAAATAATCAAGTCATGAGATTTTAAGGTTGCAGGGAATGAAAGGTCAGTTAGTCAAACTCTCTCCTTTCTGAAAGGACCAAGGCTCAAGTTTTAAGATTATCCATCACTCATGTTACTGCCCTAAATATTACGTGTTAGAAGATGTAGAACAGTATAAGTTCTGATCCACGAGAGGATAAATTCCCATAAGCGGATACAATTATTAGCCTAGTTTTTATCTTAATATAAATAAGAAGATGATCTAATCATCAGGGAGAAATGCAGGAAATACCAGGGGGGGTGGGAAACAGTAGAAGCCTTTAGGATTGTGGAAGCAACTTCAATAAGCTGTCTGATGGAAGAAAAAGTTATTTCATGTAGAAAGAGGAACTAGGTAGCAGGTATATGTCAGAAAAAAATTACAAGCCCATGATGAACTTAAGTGCAAGAATTTGGCTTTGAAAATGCAAACGTGGCGTTATGAATTGCATTGAATTAGTTATTAATTGTCAATGAATTGTTGAAAGCTTTATGGAAAATTTTTTAACACTGTTCTCTAGGTGTTCTTTCTACTTTATCATCCAGAGATACACTGTTCACAACTCACAGAAAATATCTATAATATACCAATATTTTTAGTCATAGAGAGGCTTTTCAGTTATGGAGACTGTTATTGAGGACAGGTGGACGCAAGCCAATGCCGCTAAAAATGAAAGCATGGAAAGATGAAAGCAATTGTTTCTGAGTTTGGGAGGGTGGTTGCAAAATAATAAGGAAAGAGTCAAACTTAAGTATTTTCTTTTGAGCTAAGCATGTATATGTGTTTTGTATTGTTTTGTAGAAGTTTGCTGATAAAGATATAAAGATTAGAGACGTAATCATCTAACGGAAATGCTGGTAGTATGGCTCCATGTGCGTGTTCAAAAATCTCTTCAGCGGATGCACTCGTGTTAGGGGTAAGTAATACTTCACTTTGGCTAAATTCAGGATCATGCACTATTTCAACTTAATAAGGAACATTCTTGGATCTAGAAAGGGGCAGATCTGGAAATTGGCAGATTGGGTTAAGTAGAAAGGGTAAAAATTGTGGGTTTTTTTAATGTTTTTTTTTTAATCTACAAATTTTGACGCATCTCATGCCTTTTCATAAACTAATATCTGCTTAGATATAAGTATACCGACTAAACCAACATACACAGAGTAATAGATAAATTCAAAAGAGGAGTAAAAAAAAGAGTGTTTTTAACTGGGAGATATCTATTGCTGATCCCTTTTAATTCCTGTATTGATGTCTATGCAGTAGAATGATTATTAATTGGTCTCTTTTATTAAGCCATAAACAGAATTAATGTAGCTCTCTTAATAAAAACACTAAGGAATCAATGAATATCATGCTCTTTCCCATCTGAAGGAGAAAAACTTTTCCACTGGATGTGAACTTTTCCTTTGAATTTGGCTGCTGTGCAGACCAGTTTTCCCTGTCGCCTGCCTGACTGTCCAGCAGAAGTTCTTAACCTCTTTGAAGTCACAGACCCCTTTCGACATAGGAAAAAAGCTCTGAACGTTCTCCTCAGACTCATGTCTATACCATAATCTTTTGCACTCATTTTTTTTTTTCCTGGGGGAGGACAATGTCCTTCTGGAACCCATTCATTGGCTTTAGGTTAAGGACCACTTTATTTTATTTTTTATTTTTATTTATTTATTTATTTTTTAATTGAAATGATTTAAATTTTTTTCCTCCCATCCACCTTCCCTCTGCCCCCCCCAATCTGGTAACCACTAGTCTATTGAAGGACCATTTTAAAATAAGAAAACCCATCTTGTTCTTCTCCACACACTAGCAGCCTTACTTCCTCGAAGAGTTCTTGGCAAGCTTTGGCTAAATCGGTAGGTCACAGCTTCATAGAAAACAATTGCCAATCATATGAAAGGAGACACTATTTTTCAAACCCAGTCACTCCTTTTAGCAATGAGAAAAGTCATGTGGAATTTGTGTTCTTGACACTGACGCGTTTGTACAAGAGGCATTTTCCGGATGCCTGCTGTGCACTGGGCGCCATGTTAGAGGCTGATGACAGACAGCAGTGAGACAGCGAACGTCCAGGCCCCCGGGGATTTTGTGATCTAATAGAGGATTTTTTCCCCAATGAATCCAAAGAACCTCTAAAAATAGTGCTATTCCAAATTTGATGGAAAGGAAATCTTAAGTTCTCAATCTATAAAAATGCACAAGATAGTTACCCCAAAACTGGTCTCTCTATACAAAAAAAAAAAAAAACTTCTCTCAAATGCATTTTTAATATTAGACAGTTGCATTTATATGCTTTACAGAGAGCTGGAACTATTAAAGTTAAAACATATAGCTTCCTATTAAAGTATACATGAAAATGAAGATAATGGACACTCCAATTTTTAAAGCGTAATTAAAATGTGCTTTAGTATATGAAATAGTTTACATATGAATTCAGAAATAAGTTACTGGGACATATTTACTGGGATTATAATTATCTTCTTACACGTTAAAGTTGAGTAATGATTCCCCTACCCTAGCCCACCCCCCTATCCAATAAGAAGACTTCATGCAAGCAAGTATACTTTGGCTATTCTTTGTGTCTCTGTGTTGAACTGTACCTCACCTGTCATGCTTGTGAAAAAATCCATGCCAAGTATGCATGAAGGAAATGATAAACCTTAATAAGCTTTGAAAAGCGATTCATTCTTAATAAATTACTAACGTACAGGAAAATATTGGATACATGGCTGTCTGCATCCAAATAGATTAATAACCACATTTTCCCTGAAGTGCCCTCAGTATTCTTCTCTCATGCCATTACATAAGAGGGAGGGAGAATAGCCAGTAGTAGAGTCAGAGTGTCAGCTTTCTTATGGGAAAATGGGCCAGAATTATATTTGGACAGTCTGATACTCTAAGTATGGCTGATTCCTACTTGGTAAACCTCAGTATTTCCTGCTTAGGGCTTTCTTTGGGAGTGAACCAATCCCGGATATATGGTTAAGTCTGTTGCTATTTTACTTTTGTAAAAGTATTGAATGTTTCTTATAGTTAACACTTATTGGAATGATGTTATAAATTTTATGGTTTCAGTACTAACAGCATTCTCTTCTTCTCGCAGGCTATCCAGATTTTGATTGGCATCTTTCATGTTTTTATGTGGTATTTCATATTGATTTTGTATATGGGACAGATTAAAGGAACCTTTGGGATATATGAACCTATAACTTACAGAACAGGATGTACTTTATGGGGAATTGTTGTGAGTAGAATGCATTTATATGATTTAATCATTCAGTAAATAATATATATCCTGCTAATGGAAGATAGGGAGAAGTTTCTAAACAACATTTTCAGGAGAATCATGTAACAAAATCCCATGTTGATAATTTATTTAAAATCAAATTCCTTTTTTTCAACAAATATTTTTTGAGCACTTTTAATTTACTAGCACTATTACAAAAGATGTAGCTACAAGAGTAAATACACAGTGACAACCATAAGTTAGATTGTCCTTAGGTATGTGAAGAATTAAGAATCGTAACTATAATATCCATTAGCATATTTAGGGGACTTACCTCTGCTTCCTCACACAATAAGTCTATACTCACACATTATCTAAATTTATCATCATTTGCACTCTTCTGCGGTTTCTACATAGCCATAAGATAGTAGGAAAATCTAGAGAACGTAGCATCCCGGAAACCAAGTGATTTTGAAAGATCAACTATGTTAAATTCTGTTACTTTGTCAAATAAGGCAAGGGCCCACCATTGGATTTAGCAATACGGAAGCCGGCAGTAAACTGGACGAGTAGTTTCAATGGAACGGTGGGGGCGAAAGGCTGCCTGGAGTTGGTTTAAGAGATAATGAGAGAAGAGGAAGTATTGATGGCAAATACAGACAACTCCTTGAAAGACTTCGGTGTACTGTGGTGTAGAGAAATGAGATGCTGGCTAGGGAAATCAGGGTTAAGAGAGAGTTTGTTTCAGTAAGTTGGAAATATCATGTCTTTTGTTGAGGTGACTGAATCAGAAGAGAGAAATTTGATATGAGATAAATGGTGGGAGGGAGGGATTATTAGAATCTTGTGTAGGCAAGATGATGAATTTTAATACACAAATAGCTAAGAGCATGGACAGTTCGTCTTTAGCAGTGGTTCTCAACTAGAGATGATTTTGCCACTTGAGGACATTTGGTAATGTCTGAGACAATTTTGGTTTTCGCAGCTGGGAGCTAGGGGTGTGCATCTAGTAGGCAGAGACTACAGGTGCTGCTAAGCATCCTACAATGCATAGGACAGCCACCACAACAAGGAATCATCCACCTTTAATGTAAATAGTGTCAAGGTAGGCAGCAGGAGAGAAAGGTAGAGGAAAAGAGAGAGAAGACAAATTCTGATAGATAAGTAGATGGGATGTTGGGAGCTTGTGGAACTTTTCTTCCAATGGCTTCAAATATCTCAGTGAACTAGAAGGCAGGATCACGAGCTGAGAGTGAGAATGAGAGAATGGGTTGGTTGTTTGAGGAGAGAGGAGAGCATATGAAGTAGTCATCTAAGAAAAGGGAATGCGTGTATTGTGGAAAAGTAGTTTGGCTTTCACACAGCATTAAAGGCTCACTTCAGCTTGTAGTGAGACGGGTCAAGATGGCTGTTTATTTTTCTCAGGCCATGACTGGCTGCCTGGGCGCAGGCACGCAGCAAGAACAACTGCATTTAATCAGGATTTTGGTTTAACCATGGAACTGTGATCAAATGAGAAAGGTGCAAAGTTGTTGAAAGTCTATATAAGTAAGTGTAGTGGTTGACCATGGAATTTAAGCTAGCGAAGGAGAGACTATAACAGGGAGGCGAGGAGCTCAGATTATAGATCCAGATGGGGTTAAAGGATTGTTAGAGTTATGATACTACAGGGTATGAGCTGGAAAGATAGAAGGTCAGAGGGGGGTGCCTGAGATTGCGATTTGAAAGGTGTTATACGTACTGACAGAAACAAGGACAAGAGAATGCATATGGGAGTGAGCCACTGCGATAGGATGGAGTCAAAGGCTTGGAGGAGATAAATTAAAGAACCACAAGACCAGGGTATTAGAAGAATCGCATATGGATATATTGAAATTACCAAGGATTAAGAGGTGTTAGAGAGTTAAAGAGACAAGAATTATAATCACCTAGAAAGAGAGCAGCGAGCAAGGGATCAATAGATGACTTCAACCAGGAGGGTCAGTGGGTGACAGAATCCGATGACCTTTGATTCAAAGCTGGAGGAGAGACAATGATTGGTACTCACAATAGCAGCAAGGAGACCACTTAACCAAGTTTACAACTAACGGCCGGAGGGCCAGAGGAGATAAGATGGCCACCACATGAGGGGGCTGCAGTGAAAGCAGTGGCCCCTAGGAGATACCCTGCCTTTATCCGTTGGCTCACAAATGTCAAAGCATTGTATTGGAAAACACTAGGAGAAAAATAGCGAATGTGCATACAAAATCCAGATAAATGATTCATGTCCCCCAGTGTTTAATCGTTCATATGATAAAAATAGCATATTTAGCTCCTAGAATCAATTATCTAAAAATTCTATTAAATTTAATCCAACGCAAAACTTCTCATTTAGATCATGAATCCTGTTTTTCCACCAATTAGCCTTTGACTTGGATCTTCATCAAAGTCACTAAAACTGATAAGACAAAAGAAATATGTCAGCGAATTGTGCAGGCAACCTTCAAAAAATATGACGTCGCTTTATACTTCTGGGAAATAGACAAAGTAGCCTGGTACAAAATAACAGAACTTTAAAAACAAAGACAAAGACAAAAACATGAATAGCACCTGTTGTCTTAATTCTGCTACAGTCTCATTTAAGAAATATATTTTGTACAAACACAATTTGGAGAGACTCACAGACCACATTTTCACATCTAGATGTGTATACAGTAATTATAATCAGTGGCATCATTTCATTAGGAAGGACAGCATTAGAAATAATAATTGAATGAGTGCAGAAAGCACGCAGAGACATAAGCAAACTCGGTCCCTGATTCAGAATTGTGTAAGTCATCTTTGGCA